GCAGATGCTCCAATTGCCTTGGCCGTGTGTGAAAACCAAGACGGAACATGACGTGTCACTTGACCCAATTGGGGAAAGGTCACATCAACTAACACGTTAAACTTTCCTACACACAGACACATGCACGCATACACTCCCAATAGTCTCTACCTCCGAATATTGACTTTAAAATGAGCCAACGGCTACGATTATGTAAGAATTTTTTCCACTATGTGATATGTAAGAGCATGACTGGAAATATCAGTGATTGTACTAGGCTCTCGGTGTGTGGGTCCCCATTAAATGGGATCCTTATGAATAGAGAGACACAGATGGCGTTTTCCTTCTCCGGAGTGAGTCGAATGTTGTTATCGATGAACTTCTCCGGATAACCATTGTCCTGCAGCGTTTGGCGGACGAAGCGTAGTTCTTCATCCAGTGTGTCTGCTGAACAAATATTCCGGGCTCGGAAGACTAGACACCGGACTAGATTGCGTTTATATTTCACAGGAACGAAACTATGGAAGTTGGTATATTGTCCACTTGATGTTTTCTTTCTGTGGATCTGTAAGTAAGTTCTTTCCTGGACACGGCTGCATCCAGAAAGGCCAATATGTCGTTCGTTTCAACCTTTACAGTGAATTCCAGTGATGGATGTTCTTCGTTAAACAAGTTCAATATCTGTTGAATGTCATGTTTACGATCGGTCACACAGAAGATATCATCCATATATCTACTGTAGTGTGCTAATCCTTCAATAGTTTGGCTCAGCTTGCTCCTTTCTAGTTTGGCCACGAAGATGTCAGCTAGCAACGGACCAAGTGGTGATCCCATAGCAACCCCGTCCATCTGACGATAGAAAGTACCGTTAAATAGAACCTGGACGTTACGTGTGCAGTGTAATAGCAGTTCCTTTAGATTGGTGACCGGAATACCAACGTCCACATTCAGTGNAGCAGGGGTACATTAGTGAACAGTTAGACCACATCTAAGGAAAACATCATCTTTTTCTTGCATGTCCAGGTCTTCTATTTTGCCTACAAACTGGAAACTGTCTCTGAGACTGTGTGGCGAGTATACGACGAATGGGTTCTAATAAGTCGACCAACCACTTCGGCATTGCGTGATATGGTGAATTTAACGTTGCCATAATAGGTCTTATTGGAACTCCTTCTTTGTGGACCTTCGGGAGACGTTACAGTCGAGGGATGCTGGACCCACATGGTTTCAGTCTCTCGTATGCAGCATTGTCTATGTGCCCCTGTAACTTTAGCGCCTTTAGTAGATCTGTGATTTCACCCTCCGCCTTTTCTGTCTCATCCTTTTCGTTGCTGCATACAGAGAACCTTTTGTCATCCGAAATTATTTCAGAGAGCTTTCGAACATAATCATTTTTGCTGATAATAACCACCCCGGTGCTTTTATCTAGTTTGAGCAGCATTATGTCTTTGTTCTTTCTGGGTTCCCTCAAAGCGTTTATATGCTGACTTGTAAGCGGTCCGCGGTTGTGTATGTATAGCTTTCGGTACTTATAGCAGCTTGTCGCCAGCAAACTTTCAAACCCTCCAAATCCTCGTCTGAATTAGGTATCAAATCCTTTGTTTGACCCATCAGGCTTTCGAACTGCACCTCCAAATCGATTCGGTTAACTGTCTACGGGGGGCAACAAAACTTCCATCCCAACGATAAGACTTCCATTTCTATAGGAGATAGCTGCCTATCCGACAAATTATGCACTAATCTCTCTGGTTTATTGGGAAAAGTGGACATCTGTGTAACCTTATGGGAATTCCGTAATAAACGTTCTCGAATGGTCTGGACGCGACGCGTACAGATCTGACTTACGAATTTGTCGAATTCCAATCGTTCATTCTCCGGTAAATCGTCCACAAAATGCTGCCGCTGTAGGATGTTCCGTTCAAATTCCGCAGTTTTAAATTTCAATGAATCACGAACACTCAACACATATCTCTTGAAGGGTTTGCTGTTGGAATAGATGCAATCTCGGCGAAGTTGTGTCCAGTAACGACTGGGGTATTCATTGTTATTCACACAATTATGTAAAAAGTCCACATGAGTGTTAGCTTCCGTAAGGTGAGTGGAAAATTTCAGGAACCAGTTAAGTTCCTTAACCACACAGGGATCCTTGAGCGATCTGAAAAGCTTGAATATTCCGACGATAGTTACTACCAATATGTTGCCAACTAAGTAACCTAACTAGGTGGGTGTCAGGACAGCCCTATCTGCCTTGTCAGCACAATTCAATAGATAATCTGAATATCGGGCTAAAAGCCATATTATCAGTATACCTTGAGTAACCGGGTTTGGGAACACACGTTCAGAGGCTAACGATTGTTTTCATTGATTCACCTTCTAGCCTTGTATAGATCATACAAGGCAATGACATTTTGAAAGAGGATAGAATTCATGGAAGCGTTGCGTGATAGCACATGCTTCTCAAAAGTAACTTGCTAGACGCATATCTTCAAATTCCTCTTGTTCCAACATGCCGGACATTCTTTACTCGTAACGTGCCGCAGGGATTGCATCAATATAACTTCTTGCCATTATGTCTACACACTTTAACGGGCATATTCCAATCAGCAGTCGATGAGGTCATTCGTGGAATTGATGGAGTGTTGGTACATCACGACGATGTTATTGTGTTTGGTGCAACAAAGGTGAGTATATTGAACTCAGTATGTTCGCATACTTCTACGGTATTCCTTTGCGAAGGAGCGAACCCACTAGGGATTCGTGGTCAACTGAATCGAAGACTCGTTTTAGATCAAGGAACGCGACAAACGTTCGTCGACGGTGTGTATGACGTAGCTCGAGGAATTGACGCAGAGTACAGATTTGATCGATACAAATGCGAAATCCTGTAGTTGTTCGCGGATATTTGTCTCCATAAACGGTAACAGACGTCGAAGTATGATGGATGCTAGTACATAGATGACAATTGGGATCAAACTTATTCCACGGTGGTTTGCGCAGTCGTTGCAAGATCCTTTCTTAAAATTTGGAACAATCAGTGATTCGCTCCCGGATGATGGAATGCGCTGGTTTGACCAGCTATTATGCATTAAAGCAGGTCATCGCCCCCCATATTGAAAAGAGTAGGAGGAAGCCCGTCCGGTCAGGCTGCTTTTCCTTTTTTCAAGGCTTGGATGCAAGACCGTACTTCTGTTTCCGTTGGAGGTTGACATGATCAGATCCACGGAGCCTCAGCTACAGCAGACGATATAATCTGTTTAGCGCTGACCAGCTGAACTGTTCGTCGAAGTAGTCTGCTACCACTTCAGATCCGCAAGTAACCCTTGCTGTGGAGTGCATCGTTTGTCTAATCTGATCCCATTTTTCATTCACAGTACCGCGCGGATGCGCGATTGGCTCATTACCTAGTCCTGATTCACGAACGACTGGATCAGATAAATGACGACCTGCCAATCCAGTTTGGTATTTTTTCTTTCATGCAATCAGTGCGTTGGAAAGTGAACTGGATTAAAACTGATGCGAAGTAAGGCCGCTTCTTCACTTGACTTGACTTATGATCAGACTCGACGCAAGTGGTCCAATAGGACATGCAGTTTTGTACTGAGCCACACCAACGGTAGCTCACTGCTATGCAGTCAGTTTGAGTAGGCGTATCAGTTGAACTGGAGCACGTGGCTGTCCGTTGAGAGTTGGGTCGTAAGTTACTGGATAAGAACAATCTTAGGCATCTATTTGTAAAAGCCTCTTTCCCATCTGTCTAGTTCTTTCTCTCAATCCCGAACAATCCCAAATGCCTCCTGTTTACGAGACCCATCGGATATCAATCAGCGTTTGACCAGAAAGACCAAACAATCAGAAGTTATAGGATTTTTGAAACCAAAATCTCCTTTTCACTTAGCCGCATTTATCGTCTGCACACTCTACCAAATTGATCAACAAGCTGTCGTAGCTAGAACCTTTGAAACTTTCAACTTAGACGTATGCTGTGTCTCCGAAACACTGGGTAAGGGCACTCCCAAACGCATTGGATACAGTGAATCGCGTAGTCTCTAACCTAAACTTGGAAACAACACTATCTAAACGCTGTCATCTGGCGGACGCATCACAGATGAAGTGACGGCGCGCATACAAAAGGCCCGGCTGGCATTTGCCAACTTGAGATATCTGTGGCGCCGTCGTGACATCCGGCTGTCTGTGAAGAGCCGAGTATATGCTGCAGCAGTTCGGCCAGTGCTGCTATACGGTGCAGAGACTTGGCCATTATGGGAACAGGATAAAAATATATTGTCGGTGTTGGAACAGCGCTGTCTACGTAGCATTGTACGATTTTGGTGGGGTAACCAAACGAGCAATGCTGAGGTCAGGCGCAGTCACCGTCGCCCACTGGAGAAAGTGGATTACGTCGGTTGGGGCATGTGTGACGGTAGGTTACCACCGAGAGCGATGTTTGCCGAGGCAGGGTGTCGTTGGAAAAAGGTCAAGGGTGATTAAACGAAGACCTGGCATGAGGGTATGAAAACCCTAACCAGGAGATTGGGTCACANTTCCATAACAGGACAAACTGGTTGAATTCTTAAGTTCGCTTTCAAATTGCGTGTTCTTGATGCAACCTGGTTATGTATGTTTTATCATCTCGTATGCATCATGAGTAAATAGCTGATCTGAAGTTTCTGTTAACTGCCAATTTATGAAACTATTGCATCAAACGTTAATTAATGAAGCTTACTGAATTACATTTTACATTATGGTGAAATCTTTAGTAGAGATAGTAAAGACGAATACTTTTGACTGTCA